TGATTCCAGCCAGGGTGGCTGATCACAAGCCCTTCACAGGCAGATCAGCACACCAGCAAACCTCAACTCCCCACCATGGTGGCAATGAATACACTGTGCTAGCTCGCTTCAGCACAAGTTTGTCACAGTCCAGAGAGAAAGCAAGCACAATTCCCCTGATATTTGGTATTCTGCCTAAGAGCCAAGACCAGATCTTGGATCCAAGCGAACAAGCAAGGATCTGTGTGATCTTAAGAGCCTTGCAGCTGGGAACTGGGAGCTGAATGTGACCGGAGTGCACCTTCACCAAGCGTAAGAAGAAGATGAACGAGCACTGCTGATTTATGACCTCTGCAGTCTGGCACACGAGCTTTGAACATCAGCGCCTGGTTCAGCTGCAGTAACAATACAAGATGTCCTTTTGGCTTCTGAACCAAACACCTGCCTCCTTGCCCCGCATAACCTCACCCTCCAGCTCTTCCAGAGCATTCTTTGTACTCAGGACCTTAAGTAAACATTAAAAAAACAGCAGTAAAAACTGTCATTAATGTTTGATCTGCTTGTTTTGCAGTCACGCACCAACAAAAAGACAAATTTACACAATCCTGGCGAAGCAAGGAAACCCATCTCAAGCCACATTTGACACTTCTGACCACGAAGAGGGCAGCAGGGGAGACACATAACTAACAACCTGTGGCTTCTCTCCCGGTGCGAAGCAAAAAACAAACACATAAAACCAAGGAGAGTCAAAAAAGGGAAAGGAAATCAATCTTTCGTCCCCCACACCCCCATTTAATAAATGTTAAGTAAATATAAGGTTGGTGGAAAGACGAGAATAGCACCTTAATCCAGGACTAAAACAATACATTTATTTCTAGTTTGCAGGGCTCAACTGTCTGGCCACTTCTGTCAGTGGAAGAGTTCAGTTGCCATGGAAAGAAGTCACTGAACACCTAAAATGGACTTTTTATTTGTCATCTAAATGTCTCGCTAAGTATGTAGTCACTACCATATGCTATACCACGCTCACATTTTAACTGGTGACCCTTCAAAGATGTGTGCTGCGGTGAACAGGGCTCAACGACAGCAATCCCACTGGGAAAGCTGAGATCTTTCTGTGTATCTGTGCCTCAAGGATAATGAAGTACTACCAGAAAGACCTTTAAGTGTTTTTGTTTTAAACGTTGTTTGTTTGTTAAACTAGTTGCTTCCCAATTCACTTCCCAGTTTGTAGGTGAAAGAGGTGGATCCTGTGATGCTTCATCACAGGAGATAAAGCAGCTACCTGCTAACGTTAATAAAGCTGCGAGGAAAACAAAGCCGAATCTCTTAGACAACGTGCCCTGAATAAAGCTTTAGGATTTATAAACATGCTCTCTCAAACCAGCCTCACTGATTCTGGGCCCTGCTGTCAAGCCAATTCCCTTCCAGGCATCTCCTTCTTTGCAAGTGGAGGCAGTAGGAGCGTTTCTGGTAGTGCTGCAGCTTTTCCATAAGAGATGGAAAGAGAGACTGGCTTTAAAAGCATCTCTGTTTAAGAGCTGTGAAGAGGTAAAACTTGGCACATTTAGAGAACGGATATGTTTAAGCTTCACACATGATGTATTTTTTATTTTGTTATTTTTATTTTTTAAGTCTTCTCACAATAAATTTGGACAGCTGCCTTGAAGAGAAAGGAATAAAGTTTGCAAGCAAAGTTTTTTATTTGGAAGAGAGGGGAAAGGCTGTTCAGCTTCTGTATATGAACGCACAGTGAGTCACCACAGTTATCTGCTGTGGATTCATTCACTTGACAGCGAATCTGCTCGGCTATTCAGACTGGAAGGCTTAACTCATCCCTGCTGCCATGAGCAGAAGCTGTTGATAATGAATTCACAGCTGCAGGTGACACACGCCTTCAAAATTCAACTAACCACAAACCACGTGGTCAAAGAAATGGCCTTCCTAAATGATGTCAGGGGAGATCACAGGAAAAACTGTACTCTGCATGTGGCTGTTCAGCACAATTGGGGCTGAAGGGGATAAAGAAGAAGTGTAAAACCAGGCTTCGAGTTGCTGGGAGGAAGGGGGAAGAACAGCAGTGTTTCTTGCTGCCACGCTTCACCAAAATCATACAAGGGCCAACCTCTGGCTGAAGGATCCCCTGATTTACCTTCCCAAGATCCTACCTGCCCATAAGACACCTTGCTGTTCCCTGGAAGCAAGCCAGCCCACCATTCCCCAAGCCACTTATCTCAAACTGCACATCCAGCACATGGACTTGTCCAGCTGTGCCATCATACCCTTTTCCCTCTTCACTCTCCAGGCTTTACATTGAAAAACTGTGTCATTAATGACAAAAAAAAACAAAAAAAAAAAACACATACACACACCAAAAAAAAGTAAACTGAAGCTCAAATGGGCAGAAAATGGTCACAGATTTTCTACTAGAGCTTATTGTAGTCATTATTCCAAATGCCCGTGCACAGAAAACAGTCAGCAGAGGTCACAGCCTACCACACGGGAGGGTTATTCAGCACATTTACTCAAGGGGTCATCTATCAACTTCTAAGTTGTCCAACCATATAAATGAAATCAGGGTTTTGGCTTGTGCAGAATCGTTTTCTGCATTAGCTTTGATTCCCTTTTTACTATATTCTTACTCTGCCACAGACGGAATAGCACTCCTGCCTGAGCACCGCCACTGCACAGCTCTGGCAGCTGTAGGATTTGGGATAGGCATTTAGAATCAAAGCCACATGCTTAATGGAAAGCGAGCAGAGAGGTTTCATTCAGCAGGCAGCATCGTGGCTAGCACTGCCCTGTCTGAGCTCAGATTCAAACAGACACATCCACACACATGATAATACAAAGCATGGGGATGTGAAAAAAGATAAGACAAAAACAGTAATGGAACCAGAGCTGGGAGAGAGCAGGGAAGTCTCATTTCTGACAAGTAAGAACTCTTTCTCAACAGACAAGACAACACCAAGACAAAACTCAGGCTTTACAAAGACAGTTTTAAAACCAGAAACGCCCTTTATCTTTGGGGTAATGAAGAATGGGTAGTGAAGAAGCTAAGACCCCGTGTGTTGCTTTATTCCTCCCCCAGGAGTAAAATATCTGGTCGAGCAAATAATAAAATCCAGACCTCGCTGTTCTGTCCTTTCTGAGTTATGACGTGCAATGCCCAATCTACTTGGAAGCAAATGCTGTCTCTCAGCATGAAACTATTTTCACAACTTCTTGACAATGTCATTTTGCCAGCTTCCCCTCATTTTCCACAAGAAATTGCCTATGGCTACTTGCAGCTGATGAAAACATCCCCCAACACTCTTTTCCATGAAAAGCAGACCGCGCCCGTCCTACCCCTTTTTATTACAAATGCAAAATACAACTTGAAAAGCATCTCTGCAGGTCAGCACCGTGGGTTCCTACATGCTGTAACACACAGGCATGGTAAAGCATCCCAAAACACGTGGAACAATATTGCTCCTGCTCTCAAAGTGCTGCAAAGGGTGGGCTGCAAGCCACTTGACCCTACAGCGCTTCTCAGAACCCCAAGATTTGTCCGCCACCACATCTGACACATCAGATAGGTGGCCTTGGGGTAGGCACAACCAGACGGAGTACAATGAGGGATCTTGGTGTCTCTAAACAATTACAACGGAAAGGGGAAGCACCCCCTGGTTAAGAAGCGACTGATTCCGGCCACTCCTTCCCTGAAAGTCTCCCCCACAGCCTCATAAACAACATACCCCAGTGACTTCACGGCAGGGCCCAAACGTAGGTGCGAGATGCCTTCTAATGTTGTCAGCAAAGCCGTCCAAACCACTCTGACAGCTGCTCTGGGCTTTTTCTCTGAAGCCAAAGCTAAAACAGACTAGTCTAATCCTGCTCAAGTGTGCCAGTCTCTAGCACACACCGCATATAATCCCTAAACATCTGAACTTGCAGAGAAAGCTACACCAAATATCTGTATCCTCAGATGTTTTCCCCTGCTGGCCCAAGTGGCAGCATTACCTTCTGAATTGCATGCTCCATGCCCAGCCTTGTTGCAACCTATTGCAACGTCTCAGCCTGGAAAACACCAATTCATGACAACGACTGCAAGGGGAGAGTACACGATAAAACGGCATCTCAGGACTGAAATCTAACTGCAGATCTTCTAGGCCATAGACATGATCAAGGTGCAGATGAAGAAGCGTTTGGCTCTCAAGAAAATGACACGTACTAGGAAGGAGCTGTTCCTGGATGCGTGTGAATAACTGCACATTTACATGCAGCAGATCTTGGTCTTTGGCCCAGCTGCCATCTTCCCACTGCCAAAACCACAGCTTCCCATCCTATGCCTGTTGGGACATCCCACTTTCTCACTCCTTGGGAGAGAAAGAACAAGAGCTAGAACAAAGGTATGCTCAAACACGCACTCCAGGCCGCTCTGTACTGCTAAGAACGAGCAAAGAGCAGACTTGTTTTCATTTTTCTCCTGGCTGGGACAAGGCAGAGGGCACCTCCTTTGCTTGTATGCCAGATATTACGGAACTTCTGGGCTCTTAACATTGAGACGTCCTCCTCTGTGCTAAGATTTAATTAAGCCTTCAAAACGTGCTCAAAAGGGATGTGAGGAAGGAGAAAACAGAATGGTGATGTGTTTTCTGAGGACACTAGGCTAAATTTTTCTGGAAGAAATCTACATCATGTTTCCTCTTCATCGCATTCTTGCCTGACGCACTACGGTGAGATCTTGCAGACTGCCTTTGGTGAACTCTGTAGTGCTCAGTCACTTACCACAGCACCCCAAAAACCTGAGCCTATGGGGTGACCGTAGAAATCACCAGACGATCAGCTGTCCCAATATTCTGCCAGTTTTTGGGGCCTCTACCCCCCAGCACGGAGATACAGCGTTAGAAAGCAGCCTCTCTAACCACAAAACCATCAGCGCTGCCAGTGGCCAACAGAACAGCAACTGTTTTTCAGTGACCTGCTCTCTCACGGCTTAAAATACCCCGCCAGCCAAGCCCCCCGACCACTGCACTCACCTCAATGGGCTCAGCAGGGATTTTCAGCTTGGATAACTTGGCTTTGGCGTTGGCCTTCAGATCTGAGATCTTCTCGTACGGTTCTGTATGGTACTCCTCTGGGAGAGGCTTGAGCTCCGGGGATTCTACTGGGGCCTGATCTTGGCCATCCATCGGCCTGACGTAGGCGGTTGGTTTCTGCTGCATTGCACTGGTTTTTGATGGCAAAGGTGGGGGAAAGGTCTGCGAGGAAGGCTGAGTGGTGCCAGCCAAGTTAACGGCTGAGCTGTCCCGACTTTCATTCTCCTGTGAGCCTGCCACTAGGTCCTGAGGTGATTTCGTTTGAGTGTAGGTCAGCCCATGACTTTTGCTGCTGTTCTGTGACCTGGAATTAACATGCTGGCTGGAATGTAGAGGTGACAGGGGCGTCACTGGAGTAGACAAAGGTGACAGCAATGGAGAAAGCTGCAGAAGGGAGGCCTGCAGTTCGGTAGCACGACCCTCACCAACAGCGCGCCTCTCGGTTCTCTTGTGGCGAGAACCTGTGTGACCTTCCTGTCCGCCGTGACCATGTTCTTGACCTTGGCTCCGGCCGCTGGACAAGCTGTGACTCTTGGCGTGCAAACCTGACGCTGGTTCTGCTCGTGATTGTGCCTTTGGGTAGTGAACGGAGTGGCTTGGAGGGGGGGGAGCTACAACCGGAGGTCCCATGTGTGGATGGCGGCTCGCATGGTGGAATGCAGATGGTGCATGGCTGGTCTTTTCAGGGAAGAACGGGCGATCAGGCTTTCCTTGAGGGATCAGAGGAGCGATGCTTTTTGGTATTCCTATGAGATTCTGATGGCACCTGGCGCTGATAAGCTCCTTGACCTCCTCATAATTGCCCAGCATGTTCTGAATACGGCTTGACAACTCATCCTCTTTGTTAGTCTGAAACAGAAGAACAGAAAGTGGGAAATTTAAAAAGCACAGAAAAAAAAAAACACAACCCCAGAGATCCAGCTCGAGAAGAGACACCCTTCAGGAACTTATTTGTGATAAGCCACGCATCACAACTTCAGTTAGGCAAGCTCATTTTTTATCTGCAGGCAGTCTCTCCTAAGAGAATCAGACTGCTCGTAGCAGCTTCCAAGCTACAGGAGGCCCCCAAATGAAGCTGCCCACCCCAAAGGCCGAGCTGCGCACTGCCACCTGCAGAGCTGTATGAACACACACTGCTGATTTAAGTGAAGCAGATGGGATGTTACTTTTGTTAATATTGTACTCAAGCCAACCATACTTTGCGCAGAGGCCGTGGCTCTGCTCTGCTGCCCCAACCCTCCTTTCTCCTCGCCCTCCACCACATGGCCCGACCATTACCTTGTAGGGCTCGGCAAAGAGCGGGGCGTTCTCACTGAACTTGTCTCTCTCCTGCAGAGCCTCCTGATTCCGCCTCTCTCGCTCTCGAATACGCAGCAGGTTTCTGTCCTCATTGTACAAGCTTCAGGAAAGAGAGAATAAAGCGTGGTTAACATTTCACGAGCAGCACTGTCAACAGACATCTCTGTGCACAACCCTTGGTTTTCAGACAGCTGTATAACACATAGTAATATTTAAAGAGAAGGTCTCAGGAATTTGGAAAATACCAGGCCCAAACCCTCCCTGAGCCACAAACACACAGTCCTCGCTCCACCAGCCCTACATCCAAACAGCAATAAAGCTGTCTCATACACACAGCGGGAAGACTTCATGGAAAACCAGACGCTGGAAGCCAATGCTCCTCTGTGAAATATTACTGCAAAACAAGGAAATCCATCGCTCACATATTTCTGGACATTTAGAAAGAAAAATCATGCCAGTGTAGCGCGCAGACGCAGGTATTTCAACCCTCCTTCACCACTGTGCAGCCCACTGCATGCATGCAGATCCTCTGCTACTTTTAGTTTGGCTCTGAAGCATCCCAGTGTGGAAGGGACGAGCCACGTCTCGCCCACGAGCAATGCCTTCTCAGCTATCACACACACACAGCCACCTACTGAAGGTTTAACTCGCCCTAGAGGAGCAGAGGTTCTGCTCCAAGAGTTAGCCAAGAGGTCTGAGGACTGCACAGGGGTATTCCTGACTCTGTGCAAATCTGGAAGAGGATGCTGCCTGGTGGCAAATTTCCATACATGGAATTGCAGCAAGGATGTACTTGTGCCACTGAGGCAGAAAAACACATTCAGGGGTCAGAAGACACACATTTAAAATAGTTTCCAACTTTTGCTAGTGCTGAATCGTTTCCAAACATAGCAAACCAGAAGTTTCCATCTCCTATGCTTCCAATTACTAGGTAGGCCACTTCTGAAAACAATGCAAGAAATTAAAATAATAAAAAGGACCTACAGATCACCAGTTTGGTAAATACTCTCAACCCGTCTGTTAAAAACAATATTAAAGAGAAACATTTCCTCTGTGCATCTGATGTCATCTTGCACGTGAAAAATGTCCGATCTATAAGCAGTTTGCTGGTCAGCTGCCCTGTGTGTGCACACTGGGAAACCTCTGTCCAGCCAGATGTGAGAGAGACCGACTGCAGAATAAAAGAATTAGGGCAAATTAGACAAAATCTTGGCTGCATCCACTCCCTGAAACCGTGTGTATGTGAGAGAGTTCTTAAATGAGTGCATTTCATGTTGACAGTATTTTCTAAACATTTCTGTCCGAGTTATCTGGAAAATTTTTCTTGAATGAAACATCATTTTCCAAACATTCCAGGAAGTAAGAAGTGATTCCGTAAATATCCTTTATATAACTCTAAAAAATATTCCCTTCAGAGCAAGCACGAAAAAGCCCTCAAACATCTTTTTAACTGCTAAGAAGTTGGCTGCTAGCACCAAGCAATCCCCTGACACTTCCCCTGTACACAGCTGTGAGATTACAGCCCCATTCCAGGCACGCTGATGCCAACCAGAGGATAAACGTGTTGCTAGATGAGTGAGATTTAACGTGGACCAGATCCTTTCCCCCCTTGAGCCCTGTCCCATTTCCCAGGTGGCCGCAGAAGCCAACAAAAGTGGAGCAGGGTGGCAGCCATCACTTCTTCTTTTCCTGTCTCCTTGCCCTACAGTCGTCCCTTTCCCTGAGCAGACTGCACGGCTCCTTTGCAGGCAGCTCTCCTGACCCCTGTTTGGGCTCATTTCCTCCCTCACTGTGACCACGTGCTGGGCTCCAGCTCTGCTCCCAGCCTTGACTTCTGCCCACCGAAGCCAGCACCAAGTCTATATTAGAGGCTAACAGCAGCATTCAGTTCAGTGCCAGAGATACAACGGGAGCATGCACGCAGAGCCAACTCCTCGTGGTGCCCCGAGTCCTCCCCCAGCCACACAAGTGGCAAGAAACATGAGACACCCTGCAGCTAAAATTAACTCTTCCTCCTGGCCATCCCAGGAGACAGCATTTGCTACTACAAACAAACCTGGGAGTGTTTACACACAACACAGTTTGCTTATTCTGGTCACATGCCACAGTATATTTTTTTTTTTCATCACACACACCTCTGAGGGAAAGCAGAAGACACACCTTTTGGACATAGTCCCAATACAGGCTGCAAATGACTTCCTAAAACACATTTCTCCACCATTTCCTTTTGCTATCAGTTGTTTGCTAGCAGTCAAGTTTTCCCCTGGCAGTGCTTAGGGCCGTTGTTTCCATTGTTCCGTGGGCAGGAGGACACGTGAGAAATTAGTGGACACAAAGGGGATCTACTTTTTGCAATGTGACAAAGAGTAAAAAGAGCAAAGCTCCTTCCCCTCCATCATGTCTTTGGATACACATATGCTTTTTGGCCTGCACGGCACTGACAACACCTCAGGCTGCCTCAATGCACACCGCGGATACCAAGCGCTTGGTTCTTTGCACTACAACTGCTGCACTAAATACCCATCCTTGGCTTTGTTTGTTTTCTCCCAAGTGCTTATTAAATTACTGACAGCGTTGGCTGAAGTACAATACTCACAGATACTGTGCTAGCTTTCCCCAGCACGGATTTTGCTAATGCAATTGGCAGATTGTTGAGGCACGCTTCAGATCCAAGCCTCCCGCGGGTGAGCTGCTGAGCTGGCATAGCTCTGTGCTGAAGCGTGAGATCACAAGGAATGAAAGCAGTTTAAAATACTCATCTAAACTACACAGAAGGGCAAAAGCAGCAGACAAACCATCTGTCAAATCTCATTTTATCTCCCCAGGTGAGAAATGGTTTGCCTCTTTCGGTGAGGATGGGGAAGACGAAGGCAGGCCTCTTGGAGAATGCTGTCACGACCACAGGAATAACTTCCCTTCTCCTAGCACTTGCTCCTGACCGTCACAATGACCTCAGTTACCTTCAGATATCCCTTTTTTTAAGCCTGCCTTGTTGTTTAGCAAGGCTTTCGCAGCAGGACCCAAGAGCTGAGATCTGACATGGCTCACTCTGGCGGTGCCCCCGCCGCAAGTCGCTCAGGGCTCGCAGAGCCTCCAGCTGATGTGGGGAGCTGGGACCAGGGGAAGGATGTCCACGATGTGAAGGATGTCCACAACGTGGCCTGTGCTCTCCCTGTGCGTGATAAACCCGTACAGAATTGACTCTGTATCAGCAGTTTTTGTTAATGAACGCTGGGTAAGAAGGGCAGGAGCAGTAACCTAGCCAGATGACCTTTCTTCCAGAAAAAAAGGCCCAAGATCACACCACTATCACCAGTAAGCCAAGACTGAAAAAGCACCTGGGGTGATCCACAAACATCAGCACAAGTGCGTGTGTATCTTGCTGGCGGGAAGGGCGCTGAGGTTATGAATCGCTTCTCAGCTCGAGCCAACGAGTGGAAATTCTGACCGGGAGGCTTCGCCTTTTGGTCACTTGTCCCAACTTGTGGAGCAGGTGGGTGAGCCAAAGCCCACTGAAATAGGCAAAAATATCTTTATTGACTTCAATGGACTGCGTGCTGGGCACCGAGTGAGCATTCTTCAGTCATGCAAAACAGGCCTGACCTTGGGCACAGATGAGCAACGCAGAAGGAAGGAGCGTCGTCACTTGGACGCTACGCAGCAGCTCACAGGGCTCAGCTCCGGCGCCTTTCCAAAAAGGAAAACAAACAACAAACCTGAAAAACTTAAACATTTAGAGTTTGAGCTGCTAGGCGTTAAATGTAAACCGAAGCAGTAGTGCCATATTAGTGCTTGCACCACAGGACTGCATTTTGTCCTCTTCACCAGAAGCAGTAACCTCACAACTATTAAGATAAAGCAGACTGTGTGTGTGCACATCCATCCAGGAGCAAAAACTGGCTGGAGTGGAGGCAAGAGGAACATCAGTGGGAGATTTTGAGAACGCAAAAGGGGGAACGCCCTGGGGGCTGTTTGTATTTGTCCTGCTGGGACAATGCCTGCTGTCGGCAGGGAAGGATCAGGGCTCTGACTTCACGCTGTGCCCTGTCACAAACGTCTCACAAGCTCTCGGCTTAGAAAAGAGAAGCAGAAAACTCGCAGGCAGTTCAACAGCAGCTTTAAGAAGGATCCAAGCCACGCATTATGACCTTGCAAATTGTTTTCTAAAGCACCGCGTCCATGTGGATTACGGATATCCTTCTATTTCTAGGCTGGCAAGCATCCAAACTCAGAGCCATCGAGCTGTTTTCCTCACAGGTCCTGATTACATCCAAACAAAAGGAAAACCCTACACAGTCCAAACTTGCATCTCCTGCAACTGTAATATTTCCAAAGAGACAGAGCTCTCTCTGCTCTGTGTATCCCAGCGCTGAGCACGAAGCACCTTACGTGCTGCCTGCTGCAGGAGCAGCAGCTGGAACACGTCTCAGGACCTTCTCTTTCCCTGAACCCTCCTTGACCCGCAGCCCGCTTCCCAGCAATAAATTCTTTTTCAAGAGTGTGTGAAGAGAAGAGGAGGAGGGACCGAGGGGGTGGAGGGATGCTGCGTTCCTGCCCTGGAGCCAACAACAGCAGGTCTGAAAGGAGCCAGCGTGCCGGCTCCGGCGGATACAGGCGCTCTCCCACGTATGGGCTGGCGAGCAGGGCTTGGCGGGCTGCCCTATTCCCCCCGGCACTTGATGGCCGGGCAGCTGACCACCCATCCATCACCTCGGGACGTCACCCGCTCCATTTTGTGCCCAAGGAGCCCCATCCATGCTCATCCTCGCTTCCCAAAAGCTATCGGACTGGCTTTGCTTCAGAATTTTTCTTCAACTTCAGAGCACAGGAGGGGACACGCTTTCAAAAGCAGAAAGGGGATAAAAATCTCGTCGTGCAGTTGAGAGAACCTCCCCGAAGTTTGCTGTAAAAGCAAGCCCTTAAGCTAACTGAAGACAGAAGCTAAAACTCTGAGATCGATCTCCCTGACATCTCTGTCTTCGCCAGGGTTTCAGATGCTGGCAGGTGGCTGTCCAGCCCATGATGCCATTTTCAGAAAATAGACGGCTGTGAAAGGAAAGTCTGTCTCCGCTCCTGACCTGCGTCTTCTCCGCACGAAAA